GTTCATCTTTCCCTAACATGACTGCTTCTGAGGTATGTATTTGTGAAACACTCAAGCTTATTACTTCTGCCCTCTATTTTTTATATTTTTCTTTCCCTGAAATCACTTATTTTGATGTACAGGTTACTCAATTCGTCAATGGACTGTTTAAATCAACGAAAGATCCTACAGTGTTCAAGAATAACATACGAGACTTCCTTGTGCAATCAAAAGAATTCTCAGCTCAGGTTTGTGCATTGCTTTTACCCATGCCTTTTTGCTTACATGAAGCCTATTAATACAGACCTATTAGTGCTGTTTCTTTAAAATGTTTTGTTTCATCACATGTTTGTAGGATAACAAGGACCTGTATGCTGAAGAAGCTGCTGCACAGAAAGAGAGAGAGAGACAACGGATGCTCTCAATTCCTGGGCTAATCGCTCCTAATGAGATACAAGATGAGATGGTGGACTCTTAAAAAAAGCATCATTTTCTTCCTTGGCTTATTTTAGTTAGGTTTTCGGAGTGCCTGCCCTGGACACATTATGGTAACTAAATGCTGTTTGACTTGTTAAATTTTGTCCTGCTTGTGGGGTAGTATTTCTTCCTTGTGCAGGGGGTGACTTGTAGACTCCGGGGCATGGTGCAAAAGGGACAACAATAGTGATTTTATAGCCTCTAATTGAGAAACAAAGGATATGATAATTTATGGTTTACCAGTTTCAGCCTTTGGTATTGTAATTCAATTGTAGGAGATTGTGGACATTAGCACCGTATTCTCAGGCACATTTGTTGGGTAGCATGACTTAAATAGGTTGTGTATAACGAGATTTGCCATTTTATGAAGAAACCATTTTTGTTTATTGGCAGCGAGTGCACCTACATTTTTTTTGAATTCACGAACTTTTATCATTTATTATTATTATTATTATTATTATTATTATTATTATTATTATTATCATCATTAATATTACTATTACTGTTGTCTTAAATCTTAATCATAATTCTTGCCACTCATTATTATTGTGGTTTGTCAGTTGTCATTGTAAAAAATGATATGGTGAATTTAACTTATAAACTACTCGTATAAAGTTGCAACTTTTGGTGGGACCTGCAACTCTACTTGCAAAAACGGTACAATCCGTACAAATTTGATTCAAAAGATTTCATGTTATAAACGTAGTGAAACTGTGAAAGTGTGAACTGTGAAACATTGTCTGTCAAAATTCAGTGTAACAAGCCCCCTCTGAATGAGCATCTTACATTTGAAGCGTCCAAACTCCAAACTTGGGATGGAACCTCTGGTCTGGAACTTTGGAACCTAGGAACCGCCTGGTTTGCCCTACAGTCAGGGGTGGAATTGGGCTGGGTTGGACCTAGGCCCGGTGGGCTTTTGGTTATTAAGTAGTGGGCCCAAGACCGGCCCGGGTATCCACCGGGTCCGGTCTGGGTCTGGGCCAGACCTATTATAATATTTTTTTATTCTTTCCTAACTACACCTTGACCCCTCCCCCACCCCACCCCCCAAACCGGTTCAAAACACCCCGGTGACTCACCCCAACCCGAAAGGAAGCAAAAAAGGATTTAGGCCCGAACGGCCGAACCGGACCCGGGTCCGGTCGGGCCGGTTCGGATTTTACCTAGCCCGTACCCGTCCCGGATACCCCCCCAAACCGGGCCTAGACCCGGAACCGGTTCCCGGGCCGGGCCCGCACAATACCGGGCTGGGCCGTGTGGCCCGAACCGGCTCCAAGACTACAAGGGCACTCAATCTCAATTTACAGTTTTGTGCACTGAACTGGCTGGTTCCGGTCCCGAGTCTTGACAGGTATTTTTATCCTTGGAACTAGGCATGGAGCCGGGTCGGGCACGGGCCTAGGCCCGGTCGGGACCGGCCTGGGTTGCCGTCGGGTCCGGGTCGGGTTGGGCCTCGGGCCACTTTGTATTTTCTTTTTTCTTTTTTTCTAATTAACCCCCCCCCCCCCCCCCCCCCAAACCACCCCAAATGGCCCAAAATACCCAGCCCAACCCGGGTTTTAAAAAAATTGAAAAATTAAATAAAAATAATAATAAGGCCCGAACCGGGCCCGGCCCGGCCGGTTCATTTTCAGCTGACCCGTGCCTGCCCTTCCTTAACCAGCGGGTTGGGCCTACCCGAACAGGACTATAGCGGGTCATCGGGTCGGGCCCAAACAGTACCGGTCCCGGGCCTTTTCCAGGCGGGGTGGCCCGACCCGAGTCCAAGACTACTTGGAACTGGACAAAAAAAAAAAGAAAATGACGAGAACTGGGTCTCAAACCGATGGGAACACGGAATTAAACTTGGTATTGCCTTGGTATTGTGACTAGACTGACCTAGGTCCATCCCTAATTCAAAGTTCAAACTATCATCTAAACTGCATATTCATTGCGGTTGTTTAACCCAAATAAAGTAATCAGAACACTAATAAGTTCAGAATCTTTATCAACTCAACCTCAGTGCGTATAGAAATGATGGAATTGGGTCGGTCTGGGCCCGGCTGGTCTCGGCTCTAAATAATTGAAGCCTGATACTGACTCGATTTTGTCCGTATCAGTTCCATTTCGGATCCAAACTGTATCGGTCCAGGGTCAGAACTGGGCTTGTGACCAGCCGGTTCGTTCTAAAATATGTAAGCTCGAAGCTCGACCCTCTTCTACCACAGGCCGTACTAACAAGACCGGTCCCGAGTTGGGCTGCCCGGACCCAGTCCATCCCCAACGTATAGTAGCTCTATTTATTAAATTTAGAAAAACAAATCCTTTCATCAGTTCAGCTCATCCATTGAATAAATATCCAAATGAACTAAATTGAGTGTGTGCTTATTTAATAATAAAAGGATCCCATGTGCATGTGCATAAGTGCATGTGTATGTATAAAGTGTATATCTTTAATGCGCATGTGTTTGTGTATGTATAGAGTCTATCTTTTTTTTTTTGAAGTGTCATCAAGACATTTTTAAGATGGACAAAAAAGATTACTTGGGAAGGGAAGGAGTATTTCAATTTGTATTAAATGAAAGGCTTTGAACTTGTTTTCCATGGCCACGAAAAGATAAGATAAAGAAAAAAAAGATGAATAAGACAAATTGATGAGATAAGAAGAAAAGAAAGATAAAAAGAGATAAATCCTCAAACACTTATTCCCCTCCACTTCTCAATCTCCAAAATCATACTCTGATCCAACCCAAAGTATTATATCATTCTTGCGCCTCTAGTTCATGAATGTTTGGGTCTTTCACATCTTATGCTATTCTTCCTTTTGCTCGATTCTCTCATTCCTTGAGCACATAGAAATTCTGCTGCACTCTTCAATTTCAGCCATCTTGTTCTAATTTTATGAGATACATTTCTATCTAGTTCACCGTCCTTCTGAACGATGTAGCTCAAGTAATTGAACCATATCACAAATCAATATATCCTTAATTACCATCTAAGACGATCCCATTACTAGTGTTGATTCTACCTCCACTAAACTTGTACTCCAATGTTTCTCGTCATACTTTCAACTTTGCTTTAGCACCTGATGTTGTCTCATCATTCAACACAATATCAATGACAACTTCAATACTTCATGCACCGCAATATATCTTTTAAATTGACTTCATGAGTTCATCCAGGCCTATAGCAAATAAGAAAGAACTTAGATTAAATCCTTGATACTCTTCACCCCCCACATTAGTACGAACACTTGTACAATCCTTATACGAATCCATGATGATATTGACATACTTAGGTAGTTAGGTGATATGTCTTTTCTAGTTAAGGCTATCAAAGGACTTCCCGATATCCCTTATCATATTCTTTTTCTAAATTAATGAACACCAAATGCAAAATTTTGTTCGTATCTTTATACTTCTCTACAGGTCACAAAAGATGTATCACTGGTTGAGTGACCATGCACAAAATCAAATTGGTTTTCTAAAATCTTCACACTTTTTTGGAGCATTTGCTCAATCACCAACTCCCAAAATTTCTACTTTCTGTTTTTAGAAAGTAGAAAAATAAAAATTCACCTCATGATAGCAAATACATTCATAGTGTTGTGATAACAAAGGTTGGTAATATATCTAACAAACTATATTGAGTTAATATTGCAAGATTTCAAGTGAATTCCAATAGTACAACTGTACAAGCCGTTCCATTAAATTTTGTTGTACTCCTCACTCTTGATTCTCCTTTAGAAATATAAGCGTTCTAAATAAGTTATCACTCACAAACGAATACACAAAACCATATGTTGACATGATTTCTTGTTATGAGAGTCTGAATCTCTATTTACTTCTAACAATTAGATATCACTCACAAACGAGTACACAAAACTATATTTGTGTTTGAAAATATCTCAAAAGTAATGCTGTTTAATATATACCCACGTGTTTGGATTTCAATTAGCCAAACAGTTCATTTAACGTAGTCTATCTAGTAAATGTAAAACTGATGTCAAGGAAATTTGTGTTTGGAGGATATATATACTCCACGTATTTGCTCTGTCATTGTTTATTTCTATCACTCTTAACCAACTCAAACGTAAGTGTTAATATCTTACATTAAGTAACCCACAGACGTATATCCCTTAATCAATCATTTGATAGTTCTTTTACTATTCCTCCTCTTCCTGAAATAATATAACACGTGGTTTGATAATCTTATCTTAGCATAACAGAGCAGTAGCCAAATGGACATTCTACATCATTCATGCTTAGGGCTGCACCCGCGCTGGTTGCGAGTAAGGGGGAACCAGAACCCTAACTAGGTAAACCGGTCCCGGTTCTGAATCAAAACCGGCAAGGAACCAAGAAAGTTGGTGTCTATTCAGTTCTTTTACCATCCTGGTTCCAGTGGAGTCCAGTTTTGGAATTAAAATTAGGTCCAACACTAGTCATGCACTGATAAAAGAAAAATATCAGCCCCTATACCTAAACAGGAGAATGGGTAATTCCACATCCTGGTGTGGCAAGAATACCAAACTACAAGGAGAGGGAAAAAGAGATCTTAAGTACCTATATAAGTATATTGTGTGCATCAAGGCACAAGTGGACTGTTTGTAGCCTAAACACGGAAATTACAGGTGATATGGCTCCTACGCAACAACCATCTACACTTGACATCCCCCAATTCACATAACAAAAAAATGGATAGCATTTGGACAACATGGACCCCCAGCAATAGATGAGGGTCCCTCGTGGATTTTATCAGACGTGACATGAGATTATTGCTTGTAAATTACTACATGTTAGTAATAATTACTGGTCACTTCAGAAGATCAAGCTAAGGATGACGGCCCACCAAATCCTCATTTAATCTGCTGAATACCAACTTAACTGGAATACACGCCACCGTGGGCATACTTCCTTGTTTGATTAATAGACCATCCACTTGAAATCTTTTGAAGCCACCACGCTTCGCATCGATACTCTGTTTCTGCTGTGAGGCAATTGATGAGAGAGTTCTTATCTTCTGATGATTGGAAGGGAATGTTATATTTCTCAGGGACTTTTTAGTCAGACTCTTCTTATCTAATGGAAGAGGCTGTTGTGATGTGTTCTTCTTTTTCACCAGACTGCCACTACTACTTGCGGCCTTCTGACCAAAGCATGTGGCTTTTCTAGTATTTCTGTTGCGCTTAGTTGATGATGATGATGGATGATGACGGGGAACACGAGCACCAGTTGTCCTACGAGCAGTCCTCCACGTGGGTTGGAGTGATGAGTCATCATCTAACGTTTCTGGACATATATCATTAACAGCACAAAGAATATCATCAACGGTGCCCTTGTCAAGCACTTCAACTTTCACAGGGTGCCCCACTATCGCATGCCCAGATTTCTTACTAGTTAATGAAATCAAAGGCACAGGCTGCCTCTTGTAGCCGGCTTGGACTTTTAAGTCTACTTCTATGAGCATACTTGGCCCAGGACCACCTAGATGGTGATAGTTATTATAGGAAGGATCAAGGTACTCCTCCCCAGAGTTTATCCATGACAAGTCTCCCCAATTGCCAGTATTCCAACAGGTACCACCACCTCTAGATCCATACCCAGCCAAACTCACTCTAGAAGATTTCATCAATGAATTAGCTTCATTAGCGCCATAACATTTCTTTTGAACAGGACCTGTGGTCATATAGTGAGGCCTTTTGAAATGATTTTCCTCATATGTAGGGTCCAGAGATCTTTTAGCAAACCCTCGGTTATTCCTTTTCCCTTTCAGTAGCCATTTTGACACCCCAACAGAAGAGGGGACAGTATGGCTATGACAAGGATGAGAATCTGCTCCTGATAAATCATCAGAATATTCACTACTTGTGCTACCCCGTTTGACTTGTGCTCGAGATCTTCTAAAAAATTTAGGCCGTAATTCTATAGATGCAGCACCTTCTGCATTATCAAACGAGCATATATAACTTAAAGGAAATGAAGATCAGTGGTAAAACAGATTTTTGAAATGCCCGATTTTAATGATGAGTAGCTTAATGCTCCTTTGTGCCAGTGAAGAAAAAGGATTAATTGATGTATTGAAAAAAGGACTCAAGGCATATTCAATCTTTAAATAAGACTATTTTCTTTATAAATATAAAATGCACATTGAAGACATGCCAAGTGGAAATGAAATGAATCATACCTGAAATGGTTACAATATCCTCACCTGAATCCGATTCCTCCGTATTGGTCTCGCAGGAATCAGTTTCAGTACACTCTGTAGACCCAGAAGTTTTTTCTACACATGACTCATCTTGGTTAGGGCAGTCACTTTCTTCCAACTTTGAAGTTGAGATAACTGTCTGAGTGGTGGGAAGATATACCTTATTACCATTCAAACAATGTCTGGAATCATCTTCATGAAAACCATACCTTCCTTTCTTTGCGGCATGGTATGGAACTCCCAACTTTTCCCCTTCTGAGGTAAAAGCACTACTACTATCAGGCTGAGGGTAAAAAACTGATGATTCATCAATGTTGTTTGACACTTCTACATGATGTAAACTCTCTTTGGCAGAACTAATGAGTCTTTTGTTTGGACTTCCATCAACACTTTCAGAGATTATTTTGTTGAGACCGCTTGAAACAACTGGAGAAGTATTATGCTCTAAAAGGGAGGAACTAACTCCAAACTCCAGCAAACCTCTCTTCCTGGGAGGCAAGATGGAATAATTACTATCGCCACTAAGTTGGGTTCCCTTTTGGCCCACATCTCCACACACTCTCATCTCCTCCTTAACAGGGGCACCCAATCTCTCCAAAGCTTTATGAGATTTCATGGATAACTGTTTTTTATTTTTACTTTCGAAGCATTCTGAAGATCTCACTACCTCTCTTCTTACAGTGTCATCTGGTGATTTATTTAACATGCCAATACACGTGTTATTTGTTATCCCATTTTTTCCACCCACCAGTTGCCTTTCAAGTTCAAGAGCATGAATTATTGCATCTTCGCGGCGCGCATATTTCTCTCTTTTCTTTGGAGGCATACCTAAAGAAGCTTCTGCTCGTTCAATACAGTCGTCAAACTCACCACATCTGAAAGCCTTCACACGCTTTGATTTTTCCAAATTGTACCAATCCCTAAAAGGCACACACAAACAAAAAACCATGATAAGATAATATTTTTGAAGCCAAATGAGGTAATAACCACTCGTTCGTGCTTTGTTTTAGAGATTGAGTGCCCATGACAATGAAGTATATGTCCTTTTTCCACAGCACTTTTTAGTTTAAAATTACTTTTGGGACAAACGCCATGGAGTAATGCTAAGTTCACATCACGGTTCACATCATGGTTGACCACATGGACTATGGGTATGCAACTTTAACGTGGTGGTAATTTTACATCTAAATGGCATCCAAGCAGTGAGCCTGGATGTGATGGTAGCATTACTCAACTCTACAAAGGTTTAGAAATAGATTTCCCCTAATAAATAAGATATCCCAATCAACGAGGAAATCGTCACAAGCTATGGATATTAATACTGTCGATAGTGTCACCTTGTTGCCTAACTAAAATATCATGATGTGCTACTGATCTAGGAGGCACATGAATATTTGCATGATAACATCATAACACTATCCACACCTATCATTCATGTTTATTCAAAGTAACCAACCTTCTCTGATCCATTTATCTTCTTAAATCACTGGATAATCAATCACATAATTGTGTAAGCTGGTGAACTCTGTTAATGCATATTGGGAAAAAATCTTTTTACTGTGGAGAGAAAAAACTTAAAAAAAATAACTTTCTGTAGCTCCCCACAACCCACAAGCATACACATCAAGTGTAGGAGCTTCAGTTTTTCTTCTTAAATCAAGGTATGGAAAAAATCTACACAAATAATACAATTCCAGTAAAAGCAGACTTACACACTTGCATCATCCCTTCCGAGAAGCTTCACTGCAGTTCCAGATCGTGGTGTCATCACATGGGAGGTTGAAAGTTCATCTGGACCAAGAATTTTACCTGGCCACCATGATCCATTTCGCCTCCGGACCCAAACAATACACCCAACACCACAATCAACTATCCCTTCTTCTGTTTCTGAGCTGCCCATCCCTACCCACCACTACACCCTCCCTCTTTGTAAGTAACGATCATGAGAAACTATAATCCCTATATATACAGTGTCATTTAACTTTTTAAATTTGTTTTTCCCCTAATTCTCAACTACTCTTTGCCATACACTCGCCTACCACGAACCAATGTGAGTAATATTGAAAAATCCGATATCAATCACTCGAAACAGAGGATGATTCACGGGGTAAGCGAAAAAGAAGAAGAAAAAAGGAAGAAAGCTTACAAATTTTATTAAAGTACAGACGATTAAAGGAAGAGACTTTAAAGGATTTGATTGCTTGGCCTCCGGAGTGAGAAACGAGAACAAGATTCTAAAAATGGCGTTGGTTTAGAAGATCTGGACCAAGAAATTGGGGTGGGGCTAGGGTTAGGGCTTGAAATCGGAATTTGGGGATTTTACATCTGCGGGTTATAAGTTTCAACTCTTTTTTCTTATTTTTTCACTCCGATTTAATTTCTTGGAGAGCGATGAAGGAACATCTCTCTTCATTTTTTCTTCATTTTCATTTACTTCATAAAATTTGAAAAGGTAAATAATGCATTGATTTCACCTTTTTACATCTCACAGCATCCAATCATTTGTTTGGAAAAGTTTTTGATGTTATAGCAGTAAAAACGTTTTGAAATTCCAAAATAGGACTATCATGTTTTTAATTTCTTCAATATGAATAATCTGCCAAGTTTGGGAAGAAATGTCATGTTTAAAGTCCAGTAACGTCAAACTTGACAGAAATTTACTCATATTCATAGAATAAAAAACATGATAGTCCTATTTTGGAATTTCAAAACGTTTTTACTCATATATAGGGAATTCTTTCAATACGTTAATGGTTGATGTGTATGTATGTAACTATGTATGTATCAAAAGTGTATCACCAGATCAAGTCAGACCATATTAGACCACACTTAAACAGATATAAAATACATAGAAAGATCACATCAGACTAGTTCAAATCAGACCACACCAAACATATACCTTTACGTCAATTTTGAATTGGTGCCATTTGGTAAGGGTTGGTTTGCAACTACTTTTAAAAAAGTACTTCTCAGCTTTTGGCTTTAAAAAAACATTTATTTTCCCAAACACTACAACTTTTATTTTTCTCGGCTTCCACGACAAAAGTGCTTTTACTTTTTCTATTACACAAAAAGCACTTATTTTACCAAACACTACTCACATTTATTTTTCAAAATCACTTTTTTCTCAAACACTATCAACTTTTATTTAATCACTTCTCCTCATTTCATTAAAAAAGCACTTTTTTAAAAGCAGAAACTATTGCAAACAGACCCTAAGTTATGGATGTTTTTGAATGGGTTGATGTATTCAATCACTATAATGCTAAGTATATTTGACTTCACTTCTTAATACCTTTGTTAATATATACTCCCCGCATCCCGCTATGATTGTCCCATTTTACCTTTTCGGAAAGTTCCACTAAGATTGTCTCATACCAAATTTGGTAAAGTTTGTGTGCTCTAAACATTCTTACTTTATTTTTACTTTATCAACTTTATATCAACCACACAAATCCACTTTTCTTAATAATCGAGACACCATCTCTTGTCCCAATCTTAGTGGGATGGAGGTAGTATGTGCCAACGACAATCACTTTTTAGAGATATATGTACTTGATCACATTCAGTTTTATATATTTGATATATACGGTATTACACATTTATGAATAAGTATTTCGATGGTCAATGTCTTTATTTATAATTGTGCTCCATTGGACTTATGTTCTCACTAACTAAGTGAGAACTTATGTAATATAACATAAAGTCCTAAAATAGCCCCAATCAATTATCATTAAGAAAGGGATATTGAAGATATGCGATAAGATTGATATGGGACTGCATCCTACTTTTAGAAAGTATAGTTGATCTAACAACTATGAGTTCCTGTAATTAATGATGGTCACGTAGATATTTTATAAAATATTGTCATACATACCAAGAAACCACTTGAAAAGTTCTATTAATGTGTCTATGAGATTATTGGCGTATAGAGTAGTGTAATAGTCATCGGGCTTGAGGTCAATACGTACAACATGTGCGGAGTGATGTACTTTGACCATGACCAACACTTGCACTCTAATCAGGATAGACACAACATATCACGAAGCACACAAAGTAGTAGTTGAGCCAAGAAATGATTCATTTTTCGTAATAGATTAAGAGAAAATATTATACTTTTCATATCTAGATAGATCATAAAGTCATTGGCCAATCTAGAAAGACTGAGAGATAGAGACTAAGTTATTGGAATAAACACAATATCAAATCCTAGATTTAGTTGAATATTCGTTGAATGAAAGAACCACATCACTTGAGCTCTATACTATAAGGAGTTTGAGTAGTCCTCACAAACGTCCTTACATATTAAATTTTATCAAAAGGGTGTATTAGGGGTTGGTTTTCGCTTAAAGGGTACATTGTGTATACCGTACTATTCAACTAGGGCTTGTTCCCCGAGTTGAGTATATTTAAATGATATACTTTATTATTGGAAGTGCAATTTTTTTTAAATAATTTCAATTATTATAGTGAGTTTTTTTGACAATATTTATTATTATGAAATTGATGATTGTAAATAATAATTTGGTGACAACAAATGTAATTATAATTATCCATATAAAAGCACATTAGATATCCTCATTTAATTCAACATTTGTTCGTTTGGTTTAATTCATTGAAGTATTTCCCTACTCTTCACATTTTCAATAGGTGAATATTAGAGCATCTCTAATACTACAATGTGCACGGTGTACATGTGGCACGAGAGAGATACACACAAAAGATTGATTTTATGATATTTCTCTCTCCTTCTTTCCACGGTCTTATGTGTTTTTGGTAAGTTTTTTCCTGCAATGTCAACCACAATGTCTACATCTAGACATTGTTCTTGACGTTGTGAAGAAAAACTTACCAAAATCCTTCAAATAAGGAGAAAAATATTCTATTTATTATTTTTAATTGGTTATCTCTCCCATTCCACGTATGCACCGTTAACATTTTAGCATTGAAGATGCTCTTATGATACATTTACCATTAAATGATAGAAAGATACATGTTGAAATATTAGTCCCAGCCCCAAATATCTCAAAAGGCCTAATCCACATGTAAGGCCCTGTACGAAGCCCAAAAAAAGCTCATGTGTGCCATTCGGCTCACTTCCCTCACTTGAATTCTTTACTTGATTCAACAGTCATCCAAGACAGAACTCCTCCAAGAAGTTGGCGGAAATCCTGCAAATTGGCGGAAGCCGCATTTAATGCACCATATATAGATGAGTTTAGGATTTAATGTATTCTTAAACATTAGACTTCTATCAAACTTGTGTGTAAAATCCAGCTTGATTCAAGAGGTCAGAAATCTCGCTCGACATAGTGCTGCAATCGTTCTAGATTCTGTGTTCTTACTTCTTTCTAGTCTTAAACACTCACTAAATTAACTCATAGAAAGAGAACATCTAGGAAAACCAAAGGACTGCATAAGATTTTTGGATATTCATAGATAAACCTCAAGAATACTTATAATAGATATGAATTGTTCTTGTATATATACCAACCGCCGAAGAGAGTCACATAAGCTATTGTGTCACCATCCTCACCACACATTATTTTAGTAGAGGTCTCCACTAAAATAATGTATGGTGGAGATGATGCCACAATAACCTATTGACCTCCACTAAATTAATGTGTGGTGTCGATGGTGCCACAATAACCTAGACTTCATAAGAGAGTCTCCTAAAAAATTTTGGGAGTAGAATAGAAATTTGCTTTCAGTTTGTACTTATAGGCTGCAATACTATTGTTAGATTTGGATCATATTGTGTAGTGAACCATATTCATGTTTTGGAGTTTTGGACCAATGAGGAATGGGCTAGAAACACAATTTTTAGGTCCGTCCGTACGCTTGAATGGTGTAACCCGATTTGGTAAATTATATTCAAAATTTGAATTTTCCATCCAACGGTTATATTGACGATCAGGCTTCGCCTAGAGCGGCGACCAAGGCTAGCGCTATATATTCCTCCATCCTTACTCTTATCCCCTCCAAAGCAGCTTGCCCATCCCTAATAGAACAGTGCCTAAACCCTAAGAGCAGCCAGCAGATCACTTCGATCTCATTTGCCTTCCATGGATTTCCGTACTCTCAACCGGAGACAGCTACAAGCTCTGTGCAAGAAGAACAAGATTCCGGCTAACCTCTCCAATGTTGCTATGGCGGACGCTCTCACAGCTCTTGAGTTTGTAAGTTTGTTCTGACGAATCTGATCAGCCTGAATTTGATGGAATCTGCATTTTTTATATTTTTGAGGGTTTTGAGTTTATATGTAATCGTTTTTCGATTCATTTTACACGTCTTCGTATGTGTCTGAGCTTCCAATCGAAGAATAAATAAAATTTTAGCTCCTAACTTTTTCTATTAAAACGATCCGATGTTTTTTAAGAATTAAAGAACAGTGTGAGAACCTGGCCGGCAGCCTTAAGACGTAATTGAAGTAAATAATTTTAGATTTGAGTTTCTGAATGGAGCTCTGTGTATGAATGATTTAAATGCTTCCTGAATATTCATGTGATTATAGATTCAAACTTCTGATGGCAGAAGCTATGCATATATACATTTTAATTATTTAATACCTCAAGTTCCCGAATCCCGACTAAGGTTTAATTGCACCCATGATATTGATTCTGAATTCAGAGGGGAAGTAACTTACTTGTTCATATCTCCCAGGTCGAAGGTATTGAAGAGGTCATGAGGCCAATGGAATCAGAGACTGCAAGTTCTGCAGTTGAATTGCCTGAGGAACCAGATGTAATGTCAAGTGCCCCTCGCACTGGTAGAAGAACTGCTATTAGGAATACTGCTAAGAAGGAATCTGAAGTTTCCCAGACCATGACTAGGACCAGCCGATCAACAAGAAGAATGCCGCCTGATGGTTCAGATGAAGCAAAGAATGAGGTGTGTGAGACTCCATCAGCACCAGCTAGCAGAAGAAGGGCAGCGGCAACTTCAGTTCGTCCAAAGATGGAAAACTTGCTGAAGGAATGTCTAGAGGGTGTGGAAGATGGGAGGAAGACTTTGAATGAGAAGAATGATGTTCCAAAGACCCCAGGAACTTTGCTGAGAGGCCAAAGGAGAGAGGTAGTGAAGGAGAAGAGTTCAGTCCGCCTCCCAGTATACAGCACTCGCAGGTCAGCGAGGTTAGCTGCTAAACAAGATGGTTCGAGCACACAGGAAGCATCAGAGAATGTTTCATACTGTGGTTCCTTTACCGTTGAAAATGATGAGGTTATAGATATCAACTCCAAACTCCGCGCACTTCAATTGGATGAAGAGCTAGAACAAGCTGGTATGTTTTTTTAACTAGGTTAAAGGAAACAGATTGTTATAAACTTATAACTACTGTTATTGTTTTCTTTCTTTTCCTTTTGGTGGTGATATCATGTATCGATTCATGGAACTAAGGCTTGGATGTTGTTGTATTAGTAATTTTACTTTTATTACCACATCATGTCAAACTTCATCTTTGAGATCTTATTATCCTGCAGATTCAACAAGTGGCTCCTCGAGTGGAATTGAGAGCCAGTGTTTGGCTAACAAGGAATTGAATATTGTTGACATGCACCAAAGCTCAGAAGAGTTTGCCACCGAGAAGACTGCTAATGGGCTGGGCGAATGTATTGATGGTCAGTTTCTAGATTTTAATTTAAGCGTTTTGTTTCCACACATTTGGAGTTTTATTTGCAAGTTCTTTCTAACTTTTGTGCTAAATGCAGCAACTGAAGATTTATCTTCTGACATTAAGGAATCAAATGATGTTAGAATGGACTTGCAAGAAGGTATTGATGCTGATCTTCAGCTTAGATGCCAGGAGGTTGTTGGTGATGGCACCAAGGCTGTACCTGAAAAGTTGGACGATGACAAGTCTGAAGTGCCAAATAATGGAGAAGTATTTGAATATGTGGCAGAAAATGCTGATGCTCTATATGGTAGGGTTTAGATTCTTGGTAATATAATGTCTAGAATACGACAAAAATGCATTTGGTATTTTCCATATCTTATAATGTGTGGTTTAATGCCTGAATTCTTATTGTGATCAAACTTTTTGTAGACTCAACAAGTGTCATGACTGAAAATGAGAATCAAGGATTGGTCATCAAGGAATTGAGTGTTGATATGCACCAGACTTCTGAAGAAATTGCTAACAAGATTATTACTAATGTGCTGGGTGAAATAAACGGTCAGTGTGTGCATTTTTTTTTTTTTTGCATTTGAGTATTCTATACTTCGTACTTCTTAAGTTCTGTCCTTTATATGTGAATGCAACTTCTTGATATTTTGTGTTGGAATTCAAATGCAGAAAGAATTGATTTTTCTGCTGAAAAGGAAACGAACAAGGATGAAATGGAAGGTGCTGGTTTTCAGGAGGTTGTTGGTGATTATTTGACTACATCCAAAAAGTTGGACGATGAAGATGATAAGCATGAAGTACCAAATATTGTTGAAGTGCCTGAATGCATTGTAAAAACTGTTGATGAACTCCGCAGCTCTGAAGTTCATGGTATGATGTCCTGACTGAAAAAAGGGCGTTTGCTATATAATTGTGATTGTTTAATTGTTGTTTTGTTTCTTTTCATGGCTGAAGACCTCTTAAATGTTGTTGATACGCACCAAGGCTCGCAAGTCTCTGAAGAATTAGGTATCACCAATGGGCTTAGTGAAAATGAATATGGTCAGTGGGGTTCATTTTATTAATATCAATTTTGTTAATTTTGTTGATGTATGAATATTCTCACTGGTTGGAAAATGCAGACGAATCTGCTGCTGGGAAGGAATCATCAAAACACATTGATGAAATGGAATTGCAAGAAAGTGCTGATGATGAGCAGCAGCCTAACAATAATGAAATCTACTGCGGTGATGAAATGTTGGAGCAATTTGATGGTGGTAACAATGAGACTGAGGAGGAGATGCAGGTAAGTGAAACTGTGTGGTATACCACATGTGGTGGCCTCCATCAGGAAGAGGAGGGAAAGGAGGAGGGCTGTGGTGATGAAATGGTGGAGCAATTTGATGGTGGTAACAATGAGACTGAGGAGGAGATGCCGGTAAGTGAAACTGTGTGGTATACCACATGTGGTGGCCTCCATCAGGAAGAGGAGGGAAAGGAGGAGGGCTGTGGTGATGAAATGGTGGAGCAATTTGATGGTGGTAAGAATGAGACTGTGGAGGATAATACCAGCAGCAATGATGAAACCTCAGGTGGAGATGATGAAGAAATGGTTAAGCTTTCTTCCAACAAACAGCAGTTAGCGACAAGTAATATGTGGTGGTATTCTACATCTGGTGGGCTCCATCAGGAGGAGGGAAAGGGGGAGAGCATCATAGATGGCGGGGCGAAGTTTGATCCACAAGAAGCAGAATATGATGAGAATGCCGAAAACATTCTGCCTCCAGTCTCGGACGATAAAGAGAACAAGATTGATACAACTAGTGGGGAGGACATGAAGATATTTGCAGAAGCTCTTACTACCAATATTACTACTGGAGAGAAGGAGAAGCCCACAAAGAATGAGCAACCCATTGAAGATTTAAGCATGAGAAAGCTGCGTAAGATGTTGAAACAGTTGCATCCTTTTCATGATAACGCCCAGGCAGAGGAAGTGAAAGATGAAGAAGCTGCCATTACTGCCTCCCATGCCAGAAACGGTAAACATAAGAAATGGCGGAAAGGCGGGAAAAACACTTTCGTGGTCAGACCCGCCCTACAGCAGGTGTCTGAGAACAGCTTGGTTGTTGGTAATAGTTTCAAAAGCACATCTCAAAGTTAAAGAAGCTGAAGCAGAAGATGTGAAACAGACAACACTTTCCTTATCATAACTCTAATATTTGCAATGTTTTTTTATATTCACTACCGGGAGGCATTTCAAAATGTTTTGAAGTGTGGTAATCCCTAGTTTTTGCTATTCATAGGGCTGCTCGCCTATCAATGAAGAATTGAAGAGTTTTGCAATATGAAATGCCTGTTTCTTACACAATTTCTGTGCCTGGAGAATTTGAAGAGTTTTGCAATATGAAATGCCTGTTTCCTCTACACATTATTTGCATTACTTTCTGTTAAAGGATTTGGGCAGCTAAAAACTTCAAAACCAAGACTCACATCATTTATATTAACAAGTTCATCAATAAAAAAGGTACACAAATTGCAGAGATAAATATGTTTAGTTAGCTGCTGGCTGCTGCAACAAATTGACGGACTGCTGACGGATTCGGCAGGCAACAGATTAAACCATATAATTAAAATATCAACCATACTTGTTGTACCCACCATTTTGTATCACCTTATACCCACCTCTGTGAAGACTATTTTTTTGTCTGTGAAGTCGGTTCACAAACAAAATATGTCTTTGAATTCCTTCACAGACATATTACCCACCTCTGTGAAGGCTATTTTTTTGTCTGTGAAGTCGGTTCACAAACAAAATATGTCTTTGAATTCCTTCACAGACATATTTTGTCTGTGAAGGAATTTACAGACAAAAAAAATAATTTCACAAACATGGGTGGGTATAAAAATGGGTACAAACATCATTTTCCTTAAAATATATACGAAGGATAGAAGTGCCTGTATACTCCACGCCACGCTGGGGCCCACGCCATCCTCTCACCATGCCCCAAACTAACTATAAAATGACACTTTATTTGCAAACATCTCTCTCCCTCTATCAGTCAATCTATATATGATTATATATATATAGAATGGCCGCCAACTTGCAGCGTCGTGGAATTGCCAGCCTGTACAAGAGGCTTCATAGCTGCGGCGGCGGCGGCACATTCACCCCTTACGCCGCCTTCTTTCCTGCTAGGTATGCTTGTAAAGAAAATTGAATGTATATAATGTGTGTGTATATGTATTACTCAATTCATACTTTGTTCTGATGGCACCATCAAAATGGTTTGAAGTGAGCTAAGTAGTGATCCGTAAGTGTGATTTTATGAAAGTGAAATTGTTGTTTACTGAATTATGGAGGGCGGGAAAGCATGAATCTATTGTAATAAAATAATACTCCATAAATAAAAATAAACAAATACGGGGTATTCACAGTTATAACAAATGTTAATCTTTATTTGCAGTGTTTATTTAGTGAGTCGTGCAGTGTTTATTTAATAAAAAATTAGTGATAACTAGGGGGCATTTTTTGCGCAATACGTTTCTTGGGTTGGATCTTTGGAACTCAGGCAAAAAGTGTGTTGAATTAGTTCTAAACTAGTAATCTCACCCGTGCGATGCACGGTTTAAGATTTTTTTTTTTCAAATTTATGTGTGCTTAGTAATTCAAATCACACTATCAGTTAGATGACAACATCTATCTTCATGTAATACTAATATACATCAAAACATTAATCGAAACACACTTATAATATTATGATCAAAATGAGATTAACAAGCATTACTTAAAATATCAAAAACATCCAACAAACACGTTGAAATCATAACATTGTAAATATCCATTGAAATCGCAATACAAAAACATTACTTCCGGGTACTTCTCATTGGCCTCCATCCATGCTGTGAACATGTTGTCCTTAACTGAACATGCCTGAACCACTGAATCCAGAGGCTGAACATCGCGAAAGACAACACTTAGTTCTTCCGGCAAATGGAAGCTCTTAGGTTCAACTTCTGGGGTGTTATATTGAATTTCAAACTCAAATATGCGCCAAACAGCCTCGCACGCAGAAACGTATCTACAGTCATAGTACATCTGTATCTCATCGACTGACCGTGCATCGCACAGTTAGCATTTGAAGTTGTTAATAGGAATGCTTAGGAATCAATACATTTTAGCTCACACCAACTTATGTCAAAATCATTTCTTTTAGTAAAATGTTTTGCTAGTAACTCACCTTGCGATGCGCAAATGATTTTGCCATTGTTTTCACTTTCAAAAGTTTATCTAAATTAATTGAAGGTAGATTATTTATAATGACTAAGTAATAAGGTGACTATAAATTTACACGAATTGTATTTTTAGACGGATTGTCTCTCTACATAGATAAAATAAGGGAGTAAAATATGTGAAAATGTGTTATGTCATTCTTGAATTATACTCGAATCTAAATTTGTGGGAAAATGTTCAAATAGGAGCTTCTACTATTTCTAATATCCAAGTATAGACTGGTTTGGTTTGTTTAAGTTTGGTTTGGTTTGAGACTAAAATAAGTGTAAGTATAAACATCTAAAGTAATATTGTGGCAATGCATTTAAACGAATTGCATTTCTTACACGAATTGCCCGGGTAAATTGGCAAATCAGGGGGGTGCAAATATGTGAAAGTGTGTTATGACATTATTAAACAATACTCAAATATGAATTTGTGAGAAAATGTTAGTTGAGTCCATATCTGAAAAGTAATGATATTATTTAAGCACAATAACTTTCGAATCACATTAAATAGGTAGAATCTATAGTAGTTCTTAATTCGAAAATAAATACAACTCCAGTGCGATGCTCGATTGGTGAAATTTAAAGGGCGAGTGAACCATCCAATATGAACTTTAGTCATATAGCTTATGTTGAATTTTCACATCAAGTGACAATCACATTATTATATCCATAATAAAGAGTGAGTGAACCATCCAATATCAATAAATTCATTTGCACTCACTCTTTGTTTCCCACCAATTCAGTTATATTTGGAAAATGCACAATATTAGTACACTGACGAAAGTTGATTTATTTAAATTCATTGTCCCTAACTACTACACAAAATCTCTGTAAAAGAAATGGGACTGGGGAGCGAGCCGAGCACATGAACGGTCACGGGTCAACACAGACTTGGTTGGGTCAACCCAGTCAACTCTATAAGACTGGCCAACCATAGAAGGACACATCGTAATAAACATATAATTGTATACAAAATTAAAGTAGAAAGTAGTTATTTCATAATAACCAACAAATGATAATACTTACTAAGCATTTAAAAGTTAAAACAGTCTCATAATATTCCAAATATCATTTTAATCATATATATTAAAACAAATGATGAGACTCTGTATTTGTTGTTTGTATTCTACATTTTCAATCTATTTTTATTCTTAACAAATAAGTAGTATGTAAATATATTGCATTTTCCCTTTGGGTGTTGAAATTAGAATTTTATTGGTTAAAATTGCTTTAAATTTTAAAAAAGAAACTTTTTTCCTAGAAAAAAGCAACAAAAACCTGGTTTACCCGATTTTGTCGGTTTTCCAGGTCGGGTTTTTTAAACATAGCACAAAATCAATAGTTACTGGGTGTACTCCGTATTATCTACAACCCAACAAAAGTACCCAATTACGGAGTATTTATTTTTGGGCATCACCCAAACTTTAAGTGCAACACAAAAAATTATATATGGATGGGCCAGCCCATAGTAGCATGGGAATTGTTGAACAGAAATGCCCATCAAATGGAACCTTGTCAAAGTAACGCACGGAGTAGCATTCCTTCTTCATAGAAACCCTCCCAGTTCTTAGCCGGCACAGATCTCAGCGGAACCCCATTCTTCGCCGACACATATCTCAGCGGAACTCCATCACACTGACGGCTGAAGGAATCCTTGTTCTCACCTTCTACCGCACATGTCCGGCGAGATTTCAGCCTCCAGCCACAACCTAACGGTCGTCCGGGACAACAGCGGTAAACTCTCTATCCCTCCACTACACCGCACCACACTTCGAATATAGTTTTTGAGATGAACAAACACCTAAAATAATTTTTTTTATTACAAAAAACAACATTCAAATCCTACAGATCTGCAAGATCACTGGATATGGTCCGATACTTTTATCATTTTCTGATTTGCGTTGTTAATTTAAGACAAACTGGTCATTATTACTACAATATTAGGAACATATCTTTATCATACTCGGTATATTGTAATCGAAGTTTTACTCTGTTACCGAAGCATTTTTTGAAAAATATTCATTCAAAATTGAATAAGATGTAAAAACTGACACAAATGGTTAAAGATAATACATGATAGATTTATATATGCTTTTAACCTAGGTTATTTTTACTTTCATTAAAAAATAATTTATTTTTAATTGAAAATAAGGCAATGGACGTGATTAACTATTTGTAGATAATTAATACTATGTACTCCGTAATATAGAGTGAATATTTTTAATTGCCAAACTTCTGACAATGTTTAATACTTCTCGACCATTTGTTGAATAAACTAACTTAAATCGCTTTTTTTTAACGAAACTTAAATCACTTTTTGAAAAACATTGTTATTGTTACAGTTTTAAAGGCATGTTTATATGTTTAAAAAAACGCATATTACGTACGGAGTATTAAATATATATTATTCACACATGTACAATCTTTTTTTGGTTATTTATTTTTTTCAGATTATTTTAAGCAACTGTACTTATCAAAATTTGTTATTTTACTCGTATATTCGAGAATGGCCCATACGAAAAATCTTATGGGAAAACATATTTTTTTGTTTGAAACACATACCCCTCATCAGATAAATTTACACGTATGAACTGTTTTTTTAAATATTACTCCGTATGATTTTGACATCTGTCACTAATAACTTGCAACGTGGCATGCATATCAAACCAAATGTTACTACCTAACATCATTTATTTTGAACAACACACCAACCCCACACTCCCACACTCATTGTTTCGAACAGCATACCCTCACAGGAATAATAACCCAAACACAACCTTATCTTCCCACTCCATTTTTTATCTCAAACCTTCAATCTCCACAACTCTACGTCTCTACTTCAAAGTATCTGGTACCCAATTTCTATCGGATGAATCAAAACGGACATTCGAGGTAATACACACTACTTATACAAACTATTCAAACAGAAAACAACAAATTACTATGGATCCCATATCAACATTTAAGGAACCATGCATGTGCAGGAAGGATGTAAAGATCCAACAATGAACGGGAGATTGAGTAGCGCATCCAAAGGTAAGAATTTATTTATTTTTTCTATTAAATCCCCTAAGATTTTTCAACCTTTTCATTTATGATTTCATTTTTACAATCACATGGGAGGAAATGGGGCCTATCAGATGAATGAAGACTACATTACAGAGAACTGCGCAGGTGACACCCATATTCTAAAACTTCATTTTTTTAATTTGTGAAATAACCCGGAACTGGTAAACTTAGGGAGTGTTTGCAATCACTTAAAAAAAGCACTTCTCAGCTTTTGGCTTTAAAAAGCACTTATTTACCAAACACTACCAATTTTTACTTTTTCTCGGCTTGCGTGTGAAAAGTGCTTTTCCCCTTTCTATTACACAAAAAACACTTATTTTACCAAACACTATCAACTTTTACTTTTCAAAATCACTTTTTTCTCAAACACTATCAACTTTTCCTACTAATCACTTTTTCCTTACATCTCCAAAAGTGCTTTTTTTTAAGCAGAAGCAGTTGCAAACACTCCCTTATTAACTTTGTGATTAGGAAAGCTGCATGATGGAAGTGCAAATGCTTGGTTATTCCAAAGGAATGGTAATATTGCACACTAATTCCTCATAAAATGCATAATGATTATTTCCTAGACACATCAAGATAAGAATTAAAACACATATTTCTGTAAACAACTATACAATTCACAAAGATCAACCACACTCCATAAAAATGGCAAATTTTCTTCACATTAAACCTGGAAGAACCATTTTTGAAACTGTTAACTCGTAAGTTTGTTATTTGTCCAGTTAACTAATATTTGTTGACTAATTTTTGAAAGAGTTCTGTTTTGGTTACATCTTGGTTACATCTGGTTAAAATGAAATTCCCCTACACTCACTCTGTCTACCCCCTTTTACATCAAGTAACACAATGATTAAGGTAAGAACACATGTATCCGAAAAGGGTCTATTGGATAACTTGCACATGATATTAATTGTTTAACTTTTTAAATTCCAAAAGTTGCTAGACTTTGTAACATGCAGGAATTGAGATCATCAGTTCTTGTAACATTGTACTCCCTGAACATGTATTTGTGGGTTATGTACATTTGAGGTTCATTTTTGTAAATATTGTAATTGTAATTGTAATAGTTAGATCGATATATGTTAGATATAAGAGATGTGGTGCACGAACTCAGATTCCAGGTATGTTCATTCATCTGTCATCCTAACTTTTAAATTTATTTATGTTTGTGTGAGAGAGTATGTGTGTGTGAGGCTATATATCCTAAAAATTTCGAAATGTGTGTGTGATCTATCCTAAAAAGTTCCAAATCAGCAATTACTTCAATTACCTTCATTAGATAATCTGTTGGGTTGAACATAAATTTTTTATTTTACTACATCCATGAAATATAAAATATTTCCAGGATTTTTTCAAATACCTACATCGAAATCAACAATTTCTGATCAACCAACTTGTATTCAGTTTTTTGAACAGCTAAATATAATCTTTGATCACTGCATTAACCTAATCTTTGATCTGCATTATGCCCAACACTTGGGATCAAAATAAACTCATCAAATGTGACATTTACATGATATAAAGAAAATCTACAGAAAATTCAGTCAGCTATAAAGACCACATACCAACATTTTCGATAGAGCTTTGGTTTTGTTTTTGGTGCGATCTGGTTGATGCCAAGGATTGTGAGGATTGAAGAACATGATTCCTGATTTTATAGTTGAAAATAGCTTGGTATTACATCTCAATCACTGTTTGCACCTCAGATTCCACCAATAGAAAAAGGATAAAGAAAGAGAACACTGTCAAAGCTGTCAGAATCACTATTCCCACCTAAAATCCCACCAATGGCAACAATTGAAGCACTCGGAGGGAACACTGTTTGCTAAGATTTCAAAACCCAACAGTGTCTTCATTGTATGAAATCACACGCAAAATCAATTTCAGGACAGCATTGAAGCTCGGTTTCAGGACAGTTTTTTATTTTATAATTTTTTAGCACATAAATTAGATCAAACGAATGACTCACTTCAGACAGCGACAGTTTCAAGCGGGAAGCTTTCCATCCAAAACATTTTGCTTTTAGATTATAATAGATAATAGATTTCGGCCACTACGATTGCGGGGCTTATGAGTTATAAGAGTATTTTTTTATCTAATCACAAATCACAAATAAATAATCATATATATAGAATTATATTAGGTCATATTTTGGGGAAAAACACTATTTTGATCCTATTTAAGTCCCACTTGAAATTGAGTTTTGAGGGTGTAATATAAACGGAAAGTTCCCGAAATATGACTAAAAAGTTTGAAAATTCCAAAATAGGATTGTCATGTTTTTATTCTCAAAATAGGACTAATTACTGCCAAATTTGGAAAATACTGTTATGTTTGAAGTCTGGTACTGCCAAAACATGACAATAATTAGTCCTATTTTGGGAATAAAAACATGGAAGTCCTGTTTTGGAATTTCCAAACTTTTTTAGTCTCATTTTGGGTAATATCTCAAATATTATAAATCTCGATGATACCAACGATTCTGAAAAAAAAAAAAAAAAAAGATTAGTAAAATGTTCCGGAGTATACGGTCATCTATTTTATTGTTTCTTGTATACCCTTAATGAAGACTCGACTAAATGGGCAAACTGACAAATGTAGTTCCTTAACTTTACTTTACAGGTGGGAAGTTGGATATCATAACTCAGTTCATACGGAATCCCTAAAAAGAGTATCCAAATGTATATTTGTAAAAATGTCACCATTTTTGAATTTTTTTTCTAAACATTAAAGTATTCCCTTTTGGCAAATCTATAAAGACAGTGTACCCACCGCGGGCCAAACCCAATGAAGATGAGGGGTTCATACCTTTCACATTTTCAAACCAGAAAAGGTTATGTCAGACGAAATAGAAAAAAGTTTTAAAACCGGGATGACTTTAAAAAATGGGTTAGAGAGTAACATTTATCCTAATGTTTGTAAGGCTCCTAATGTTTGTAAGGCTGATTGCAATGCAAGGGGTGAAAATCCCAAATATGAAGTTTTCATCCCAAAACAGCTGCAACCCGGATGTATTTTAGTATATAGAGGTCTCATCGCCAATACAGAAAACTGAGGGGAGGGGCAGGGGCGGATCTAGCATTAGCATTCAGGTGGGGCCAAAATTTAATAAAATACATATATATTGTAAAAAGGAGTCAAAATGTAGTAAAAGACATTTTGACTTCATGTATATTTCATAAAACTTATTTTCAAGTATAAATTGATATTTGTTGCAACATAAATGTCAAAGACATAAATAAATATTACGGAGTACAAGAATACGAATTTTGTCAAAGTGAAATAAAAAAGGGAAAATGGAAACTAATAATCCAACCTTTTAGCGGTCTTCTTTCAATAATCCCACTTTTTGATTATTCATGAATAATCTAACCTTTGCACCTCATCTTCATTCATTGGTCCCTGATCGGTTAATGACCTACTATTCAAAGTTATTTTCTTATCTTTGCAAAATATTATCTTTGTGAAAGATGAGATTTATGGTATAATGATTTGAAAAGATAAGAAAATAGCTTAGAATAACAGGTCATCAACCAGTCAGGAACCAGTGAATGAAGATGAGGTGCAAAGGTTGGATTATTCATGAATAACCAAAAGGTTGGATTATTGTAAGGAGACCGCTAAAAGGTTGGATTATTAGTTTCCATTTTCCCAATAAAAAACACCTCAAATTTACACCTTTTTTAAGAAATCTTAATAGACTGATATGGTAAAATTAGAAGTAAACGTAAAAATTAGAATTATATAAAGGCATAAAAACGTAAACCTAAAAAGTGAAAGTATAGAGAACAAAGTATTAAAGGCAATAAAGCCATTATAACCCTCCAAAATTTATTTATTGAATTTTTTGGGCTTAAAAAAAGTATTAAAGGCAAAGGCAAAAACAAAACCTGCTGTTCGCAAGATTTGAACCCACGTCTACATGCAGAGGAAAGTTCGCAGGTCTGAACCATCTCGGCTACACGGCTTCATTGTTTTTAATTAATTCTCGTTGTTATTATTCCTATCCCACAACAATATATACATAATACACACACACACACACACACACACACACACACAAAAGATCAGGTCCAGCCCTCCCCGGTCCAACCGCCGTCCGAACTCCGCCGTTTGGGGCGGTTCCCGGTGGAATTTTTTGATGAAATTTTTTGAGTATGTTCTTCATCAAGTCTAGTTTGTCCATACCAAATTTCAGCTCAAAATTCGACCGGGAAGGCATTCAAATCATTTTTTGAAGTTGACTGCATTTTTATATGTATATTTTGGCGCAGTCAACTTTAAAAAATGATTTGAATGCCTTCCCGGTCGAATTTTGAGCTGAAATTTGGTATGAACAAACTAGACTTGATTTAAATTTAACATTAAACAAGTTCATAGTACTTCTACTACTATTTCGTATATTATATGAAAATATAATAATGTAGAAATATAGAAAACAATTAATAGTTTTAATTTTATTTCAAATTGAACTCAAGTGCGCATTTGTAATACTTACAAAAAAATTAATTCACATTTTTTATTTTTTTGCATCGGTATGTTTGAGTTTTAAAACAATAATTATAGGTCAAAACAAAATTAACACATAAATGATGTGTAATAAAATAACTAAGGATTTATGCATTTAATTAAAAAATAATGTGCTGAGGGGATATATTGACGGTGTTGGGTTGCAGAGAAAAACTGAACTGACTGAGTGAATACGTATAAACAAGAGGGAAATTAGATTTATTGACGGGCTAGGTTGCGATTAGCCTAAGGGTGGACCCTATCCGTTTTTGGATTGCCCAGTTCCGAGTAAGGTTGACACTAGAGTCTAGGCATACATGATTAAGGTTCAGGTCCCTGATAAGTCCGTATTTTGACACGTATTTGATGCGTGTTGAGATCGGCTTTTGATGATTTTCCTAGCTTTAAGGTGTTACAAGTATCAATTTTAGCTCAAGTTATGTTTAACAGGCGTTGGTTCGAGTTTTGTGTCATTTAGAGTCAAAATCAGGATTTTAGAGTTCGGCACCGGCACTTGAGGAACAATCGGGATGATTTGAGAAGCATTTGAGAATTATTTGATAACTTTGGAGGTCACCGGAAGATTCACGATGAAGATTTGAAGGAAAAAGAGCTCTAGGACTGGCTTCGGGATCAAAAGAAGATGAATGAAGCTTGAAAATGACGATCAGAATGACCTTCTGTCAATCGTTCAAGCTTATCTCTTTGTAGGAACAACCAATGGACACCATTCAAGTTGCATAGTAAAGCCAACTTCAAGGGATACAAATCATATGAAGACACCTTTGCGAGAATCTGAGAGGAAGAAGGTGAAAACAGACGATGAAGTCAGATGATCTCTGCTGCGGTTTCAGAAAGACACTGATGGATAATTTACCCGGGGGGTATCTTATCCGAGGGGTTATTGCAGGAATAACTTAGAGAGAAGTCAGAGCAAATAGGAGGAGAGAGAGAGTCGATTTTATTAAATGAACTCAGCGTGGTTTACAAGGAGAATAAGGGCTGCTATTTATAGCAGCAATAAATGCGATGAGAGGACACGTGTCAGTAATCTAACGGCCGAAGGGTCACATCAGCCGGTTGGCACCGGCAGTGGTACGTCCACCGCATTGAATGCGGTTGGTGGATGTGACGTGGTATTAAATGCGGTGGTTGGCTGTCTCTAAAAGGAATCTTCGATGATTGAGCCTGTTAAGCCGAAGGCCCTTGTGTAGCCGAAGGCTCCTTGTGTAGCCGAGGGCTCCTTGTGTAGCCGAGGGCTCCTCGTGTAGCTGAGGGCTCCTTGTGTAGCCGAAGGTTTGGTTCAGCCGAAGGCTTCCCCTGATGCCGAGGGCATGAGAATGCCGAAGGCTCATGTCTTCGCCCGTTTCCTCCCAGCAGCTTCCTATGCCAGAGAAGGCTATCCTGTGAGTTTTGGAGCCTTCGGCCAAGGAGGCCGAAGGCACCCCAGTGTGTATTCTGGGCTACTTTGAGGCTTGAGCCGTTGTATTTGGGCCTGAGATGTTCTCTGGGCTTAATGGACTTGTGTAGGAGAAGTAGGAGTCTATGGGCCGGGGGTTCCTGGGCCATATACTCCATCAGGAGTCCCTCACTCCTTTTGCCGAAAGGTACTTGAGGGAAAAGGAGTAGATGTGTTGATTCTTCTGGGGGCTCCATCATCTCGCTGGGTGTCTTTGTTGGGGAACTTGTTTTCTGCTAATTTGCCGAAGGCTTCCCTCAGTCCCTCACAGGTCGAGGGTTTTCTGAAGGAAGGTATTCATGACCTTCGTATGTTTGCCGGGGGGCTCCCCTCAGTCCCTCACATGTCGAGGGTTCTCTGAGGGAAGCATAGATGTATTTCCCGCATGCGTTGTGATGAGGGCTGCTTCATCTCCGCAAGCGACTTTGGGAAAACTTGTGATATCCTGCCTCTGCCGAAGGGTATATTGGAGCATGTACCCGGGGGGTTTCTGCTCTGATGCCCGGAGGCTACACGCGTCAATTGTAAATCTTTGCATGAGGGAATTTTTGTTTTTGTATGATCCCCGAGGGGTGTATCCCAGTCCCCCACTCCTTTAGGCCGAAGGTTAGTTCGGGCTGAAGGAGTTATAGTGTGTTGTTGGGTTCTCCGAGGGGTTAGCCGAAGGCTTATACTATTATTTGCTCGAAGCCTCTCGCGGGTGGTGGAGCCGGAGGCTACCATCCAGTATACGCGTCGAGGAGTGGCAATATTGACAAGCGAAGCCTCTTGTTGCTGCCGGATCGAAGGCGTTGTGTTGGAATTCATTGGCTGAAGGCTGTGGTGAGTGATAGCCGGAGGCTATCATTCGAGGGCACCCCAGTGTCGCCGAAATATAGTCGTTGCAATATAGCCGTTGGAAGAGGGGCACACGTGGCATGCTCCCGTTGGTTGAAGGTGGGCGGGTGCCATCCATTGGTTGAACCGGCGGCCCGTAATGATGGCCTTTTCAAGTCGAGGCCCAGTTCTCGAGGCTGAAAGCCTATATATACCCCAACTCCGAACTCATTTGGTTTGTGCGATAGTTCTTAAGCGAAGCTCTGCCCAAATATTTCTAGAGAGAGAAACACCTGCTTCTGATCGAATCCCTTACCTACGAGGTCAGTTCTAAACCTGTTCTTCAGCTTCTTCATATATTTCGCTTTGTGGCCTTAGATCTCGTGTTTAGAGTTTCTAGCATCCCTCTCCCGAACCCTTCGACTATCTTCTGTCATTATGTCTTCCGGGAGCGACTCACAAAACCTGTCGAGGGAACCCTCCGCGTACCAGGAGAGTATTTCGGAGGTAGACTCTTCGAGCGAGCAGTCGTCGGTTAGGGATGATGCAGCCGTAGCCGAAAGGATTCAGGGCAGCCTCCGGATGGAATTAGAGGCGGAGGAATTCGAGCAAGTCGCCGAAGATGAGGAGATGGCTCTTGCCCTCCAAGTAGCCGAGGAGGAGGAGGAGAAAGAGAGGCTACGAGTGACTGTTGCCGTGCCACCTCCCCGCAATGACAACGAAGCGGGAAGCTCCCGGCCTCTCAATCCGGAACCTCTGAGGGTTGCTCCGGGTAAGAAGAAGAAAGCGACGGGTCCCCCGAAGAAGAAGCAGGCTGCTGTGGATGTCGGGCAGCCCGTTGGAATACCCGAGGGGCATTCTTATCTCAATACTGATGCGCTTGAGTTGAAGACGGTGGCGACGAGCTCGGACTATTATTCCACTCAACTTCTTGTAGGCCCTTCGGCGCAGGTGGTGGAACCCGGACCGGAAGACCTGTTATCTCATCCACCTGAAGGATGTTTCTCCGTCCACATTTTGTCCGTGGATCTCGGCCTCCGTTTCCCCCTGCATCCCTTCGTAGTGCAGTACCTTAGGTTCGTAGGCCTTGCTCCCTGCCAATTAACCCCCAACAGTCACTCATATTTGGCGGGGTTCCTCTCACTGTGTGATTCCCGGGGGGTGGAGCCTTCCCTTGACCAGTTCTTTCTTTCCTTCAATCTCTGCCGTGGGGGGGCTGCTAACAGCGAAGGCTTCGCCAACCTCCAACAGTTGCCGGCATGGAGGTTGTTCTCGGAGGTGCCCTCGTCCCACAAGGGGTGGAGGGACCGGTTCTGCTACCTTAGGGTATTGGGAGCTACCTTTCCGAGGCCTCTCCGCAATCACTTCCGAAGACATCTGAAGGTCGGTAATGCTGCCCTCGAGGCCAACGGAAGAAAATTGACGGCGAAGCTGCCGGGTTCGGAGAAGTTACTTTCAATCAAAGCTGCCACGCTCCCGGAGGAGTTGCTAAAGCTGGAATTCTTGCGGTACCGTCTGCCCGGGGAGAAAGATGAGAGGTACCCCCCAATCGTCCGGGGCTACCAGAATGCCGGAGGTTGTTGCCGAGGGTTATTGATTCAGGTACTTAGGAAATTTTTGCATCTGTCTCGTTTTGATTCTAATTCTCTTTTGCTTTCTGTAGGTGACATAATGGATCCGAAGGCATTCGCGAAGCTCAGCAAGCAGCTGGGCAAGGATAAGAAGAAGAACCCGAAGGCCACGAACCCGGCGGCCCCAAAGAAACAGGAGGATGAAAGGCCCCTGAAAAATGCTGAGGCCGGTGCTGTTGCCGGGGGCTCCGAGGCGGTGGAGTTTAAAAGAAAGAACGCCGGAAAAGGCGTCAAGCTTCCGGAGAGGAAGAAACCGAAGGGGGAAGCCGGGCAAAAGGATATTCCCGTGGTGGTCATTGTTGATCCCCCAACCAACCAGCCGTCGGTCCTCACCCCCTTGGAGGACTCCGTCGAGGGGGATTGGCCCCTGGAGACTGTGCATTTCCCTATCAAGAAGGGGACAGCCGTCATGCAGGGCACTCTTGACCCGAGGGAGTTCTTGAGGGGCGCTACTCCCTCGGTAGATCGGTCCATCCTGAGCAGGCTCGAGGACGAATCCCTCGAACTGAAGGCTCTCCAGGCCTCGGTTACTGTAAGTGCTTCCGTCCCTTTCGATTCTGCTTTCATTGTTCTTTGTCTTTGCATAACGTGGTCCTAAGTCTCCCTTTCGTTGTTTGCAGGCCAGTCTGGCCTTCGGGGAGCTTGTCCGTAGGGCGGAACAGCACCGTCTCGAGAGGGCCAAGTCCGAGGAGGTGACGAGGAAACTAGTGGCCAATAATACTGAGGCCATTCGGCAGCTGGCGAGATTGGAGGAGGCCCTCCGGCAATCCGAGGAGAAGCTGAGAGTGGCCAAGGAGGAGGCCCGGGCCGAGGGCAAGGCCGATGCCGAGAAAGCCGCCGCTGAGGCCGCTAATCTTGCGTCTGAGAAAGCCGAAGCCGCCAAGAAGGAGGCGGTTGCCAAAGCTGAGAAAGATGCCCTTGACGCCTTCAAGGCCGGAAGTTGGAAGTCCGAGGAGCATCAGCCATGGGTGGCCTCGGTGGTGGAGGCGTCGGCAGATACCTGGGCGAAGGGCCCCGGGGCCATGTGGTTGGCGTTGAAAGGCAAGAGCTTTTATGAGGGAGCTCAGTACTTTACCCAAGCCCTGATCTACCGTAAGTTGGCCCGGCACCACGGTGTGGACCCGAAGGAGTTCCAGCCCGAAGCCTATGGTCTCCCCCCGCTCCTGCCGGATGTGAGGATCCCCTTGCCTGAAGGTGAAGAAAGGGAGCTGCTCGAGGACTCGGAGCTGGCCCGATGCGATTCAGATGGCGAGGAGGCTGAGGATGATGCGTCCTCGAAAACGAAGGAAGATCCCGTCGGGGAGTCCCACATTTAGATATTTCTCATAAGTGTAATTTTGTAATATATCAGTAGGCCCCGGCTCTAGCCATGTCTTGTAACGAAATACACTCTTGTACTTTGAATATCTTTTTGGATGAATGTATGATCGCCTTCGGGCTTTTTCTGAATGGATGCCTCCTGTTTCTGATTTGTGTTTGCCTTTTACTTGAATGAATGTATATTTATGGACTTAGAAAAATTTCTAAGTAAAACCTGGCAGCGAGCCTCCTGTTGTAGCGTGGAATTGCCGGGGGCTTGTTGTTGTGGACTTAGAAAGTTTTCCAAGTAAAACTTGATCAGAACCCTTCGGATGTTGAGTAGGATAGTCGGGGGCTTGAAGCTGTGGACTTAGGAAATTTTCTAAGATCCCAGTGCATGTCCTTGGTGGCTAGCCATCGGAATTGCCCCCGGTCTGTAGAGGATCGAGGGCTAGAATGACTCGGACTTAGGTTACTTTCCAAGCTAATATTACCCTAGCCCCCCAGCGGTGTCAAGCCTCAGATCAGCGTAGCATTGGTGTAGCTTTAGGGCCTCGTCGAATATTTTGAGGTCTTCTTCGGCTGTAAACCTGTTGGTAGTAGTGGGGCCTACGGTTGTCTGCCGAGGGGTTCCCAATTGTGGACTTAGTCATCTTTCCACAAACTTCCAACAGGTGTTGTAGCGATCCCTCGAATGTGAGAATCGCTTGGGCCCCCGGTGTGTACAGTTGCCGAGGGGTCCAGGATTATGGACTTAGTGAAATTCTGAGATTTGTTGAGATCGTTTAAATGAGCTTGGTGATCCTTCTTCCCTCGGCATGAACCCTCCGGTTTGTGCAGGTATAGATTTAGCTTGCCTTAGAACTTTTTGTGAAGCCTTCGGCATGTCACATAGTTGACTTTGATCCAGCCGAATTCGTCATTAGCCGAATTTAGGTGAAGTTTTGCTTAGTGAGCCCTCTTCTTGGACTTCCGGTGGAATTCTTGTACTCCAAGGCTTCATGCAGTGAAGCCTTCGGCCTTGTGGCCAGATGACTTGTTGTTTGCCAGATTTTCTTGTGAATTTGTAGGAGCCTTCGGGAATGTATATCCGAAGTGTTGAGCCTCCGGGGAGAATAGTATCCGGGGAGTTCCTTCCCCCCTACACATCTTTTTTTTTTTTTTTTTTTTTTTTTTTTTTAGATGGTGTAGGAGAGGCGTCTAGAAACTTGGTTTCTAGGAAAGGCTTAGCCTATATGGGAGGCAACGGAATAAACCGTTGGCTCCCCCTTCGGGAATGACCTTCCGATATCCCGAAGGGTTTGAGGGTCGTTTCCTCGGCCCGAGACATCGTCTGTTGCCTGCTTCCCCTTGGGAGATAGCACGGAAAGCGCCTCGGTTTTGAAAGTCGTCCCCTCAGCCCGAGACATGGTCTGTTGCCTGCTTCCCCTTGGGGGATAGCGCGGGGAGCGTTTCGTTTGTGGAAGTCGAATCCTGGGCCCGGGACATGGTCCGTTGCCTGCCTCCCCTTGGGGGATGGCGCGGAAAGCGTTCCTGGGAAGGGTTTTATTTGTGTGTGGGACACAAATAGCCGGGGGCACTTGGTACCAGCCGGAGCCGAGGGGTGTTGCACCCCCCGGTTTTTTTTCTTTTTTTTTTTTTTTTTTTTTGATGAGAGAGTATGTATAGTATGCATAATGTATGCATGATTGCGTTCTCGCGGGGTACGGCTTATTGAGAAAACACTTGGTGTTTTCAAAAAGTGATGGGGGTGACCCGCACACTTGGTACTTGGTATCTAGATTGTTGTTCCTCCTTCATCGGAGGGAGAGGCCTTGGGCCTATCTTGGTGGAGAAATGAGGGCTTGGCCACTCAGGTGTAGGAGAGAGGGGGGCCTTGGGCCGTTTGTACAATATGTAGGTGATGAAGGCTTGGCCTTTTGATTATTCTTCAAAAACAGACGGGGCCTTGGGCCATTGAACATTTATACTTGTTGAGGATGAGGGCTTGGCCACTCATTGATAAAATTTGACTAGGTGGTGCACGTTCCAATGTCTAGGAATTTCTGTCCCATTAGGACGTTTTAATTTGTATGTCCCTGGTTTGATGATGGCCGAGATGATGTAGGGGCCCTCCAACTTGGGCGCCATCTTCCCTCCTTCGGTGGGTAGACTGGCCTCCCTTCGTCGGAGGACGTAGTCTCCCACCTGGAATTCCCGGGAGCGGACCTTGGCGTCGATGTATCCTTTGACTTGTCTTCTATAGTTTTCGGCCCTGAGGAAAGCTTGTTCTCGGCGTTCTGAGATGAGATGAAGGTCGAGGGCCATGTTGGCTTCGTTTGCCTCGGGCTCATATTGCTCAACCCTTCGGGTGGGAAGAGTTACTTCTGTGGGAGCCTTAGCCTCAAAGCCATAGCATAGGGAGAAGGGGGTTTCGCCTGTTGCACGCCGAGGGGTGGTGCGGTAGGCCCATAAGATGTTGTGGAGCTCTTCTACCCAGCCTCCCCCTTCGGCTTCCAGCTTCTTCTTCAACCCTTCGAGGAGGGTGCGGTTGGCATTTTCTACTTGTCCGTTGCCCTGAGGGTAGGCAACGGAAGAGAATGTGTGCTTGATGCCCCAAGCTTCAAGGAGGGCACAGAAGGGGGCTGCCTCGAACTGAGTCCCGTTGTCGGAGATGATTTGTTGGGGGACGCCAAACCTTGTGAGAATGTTCTTGAGGACAAAGTGACGGCACCGGGCCTCCGTGATGCTGGCGAGGGGTTCGGCCTCTACCCACTTGGTGAAGTAGTCAATGGCCACAATGATATACCTGTTGTTGGAGGTACCCCTCGGCAGAGGGCCTACTAAGTCGATCCCCCATCTGGAGAAGGGTATAGCGGTGCTGATGGGGGCGTAGTTGACAGCTGGTCTGCCGGGGGCCTTCTGAAAGTGCTGGCAAGCGGTGCACCTTCGGGCTAGATCAGCACAATCTCTAGCCATCGTGGGCCAGAAGTAGCCTTGAACTATGAGCCTTCGGGACATGGAGAAGGGGCCCTGGTGGGCTGAGCAAGTGCCACTGTGCACTTCCTCCATAGCGACTTCGGCTTCATCTTGATGAAGGCACCGAAGGAGGGTGCCGTTGTAAGATCTTTTGTAAAGCCTCCCATTCTCGAGGGTGTAACTGGGAGCCCTCAGCTTAGCTAATTTGGCGCGGGGCTCGTCCTGGGGTAGTTGCCCTGTGGTGATGAAGGCGACGATGTCGGAGATCCAATCCTCCGGCCTTAGGTTAATGCTCATGACGGGGCTTGCGTGGATACTTGAGAGGCTGAGCTCCTCAATTCTTGCAATCTTCGAGAGGTGCTCGGGGGATTCATCCGAGAGCTTGGATAGAATGTCGGCCTCGGAGTTTTGAGCCCTCGGTATTTGGGTGAGAGAATGTGCCTCAAACACTTTGAGCAACTCCTTAGCCGCTTCCTTGTATTGTTTCATCCTTCCTTCCTTAGCTTCGTACTCCCCGGAAATTTGACCCACAACAAGTTTGGAGTCACACTTGACGTGGATCATCTTAGCCTTCAGATTTGCTGCCAGCCGAAGGCCACAGAGGAGGGCTTCGTACTCGGCCTCGTTGTTGGAGACTTTGAAGGAGTAGCGGATGGCATAATAGGCGCGGAAGCCCTCGGGCGTAATGAGAACTACTCCCCCTCCGCATGCTTTGGTAGCCGAGGAGCCATCGGTATAGAGGGTCCACCACTCATCAAGGGGTGCCGAAGGCTCCTCATCCATTGTTGATCTCGCGGTGCATTCCGTTACGAAATCTGCCAGGGCTTGGCCCTTGATGGCAGGCCTCGGGCGGATATCTATGTTGTATTGGCTGAGGAAGATGGCCCATTTCACCATCCGAGAGGAGCTTGTAGGACTCCTCATGAGGGCGCCGAGGGGTTGATGAGTGAGCACCTGGACTGGATGAGCTTGAAAGTAGTGGCCAAGCTTCTTGACGGTCCAAACGATGGCTAGCACCGTCTTCTCGACAGGAGAATACCTGAGTTCGGCCTCCCGGAGGGTTTTGCTGACGTAGAAGATGGCATGTTGGATGCCGTCCTCCTCTCGGATCAGCACTGAGCTGATAGCCGCGGGGCTAACACCGAGATACAAGTATAAAGTTTCCCCCACCTTTGGTTTGGAGAGCACTGGGGGAGAAGAGAGGTACTTCTTGAGTTCGTCAAAGGCCCCTTGACACTCAGATGTCCATTGAAATCCCGTCGTTTTCCTCATGATTTGGAAGAAGGGGAGGGCCCTCTCGGCTGATTTAGAGAGGAAACGGTTGAGGGCTGCCAGGCGACCCGTCAACCGTTGGACTTCTTTGACGTTGCGTGGAGGCTCCATGTTGATGATGGCCTGAATCTTTTCGGGGTTGGCCTCAATACCCCTTCGGCTTACCATGTAGCCCAAGAACTTTCCTCCTTGTACGCCGAAGGTGCACTTCTTCGGATTTAGCCGGAGGTTAAATTTTTGTATGATGGCAAAAATTTCCCGGAGGTCGTCGGCGTGAGTGCTTGCCTTCCTACTTTTGACGATCATATCGTCAACGTAAGCCTCCATGGTGCGTCCTAGGACAGCTTGAAAGACCCTAGCCACCATGCGTGTGTAGGTGGCGCCTGAATTTTTGAGGCCGAAGGCCATCACAAGATAGCAGAAGATGCCTTCGGGTGTCATGAAGGCAGTTTTTTCAGCGTCTTCCTCATGCATGTAGATTTGGTGATATCCGCGGAATGCGTCGAGGAATGACATGATCTCGCATCCCGCGGTCTCATCCACTAGTTGATCAATGTTTGGCAGAGGGAAGGGGTCCATAGGGCATGCCTTATTCAGATCCGTGTAATCCACGCACATGCGGAAGGTAGGAGGCTTCTGTGCGAGGACTACGTTTGCCAACCAAGAAGGGTATTTCACCTCTTTAATGTGTTTGATGGAGAGGAGCATAGACACCTCTTTCTTTACGAACTCCCTTCTCTCGGCCGAGAGGGGTCTTCTTCGCTGTTGCA